CGGGGCCCTCTGGCATCCCAAGCCAGCTCTTAAAAAAATGTGCCACTCGGCTGGCCCTGTGAGGGAGTTTTTAGCCAGTAAACAAATAACTGTATTGGAACACCCTCCCTATTCACCTGATCTGGCCTCCAATGACTTCTTTCTTTACCTGAAGATGAAGGAAATATTGAAAGGAAGACATTTCGATGATATTCAGGGGTAATACAATGATACCTCTGATGGTCATTCCAGAAAAAGAGTTCCAAAATTGCTTTGAAAGGTGGACTAGGTGCTGGCATCAGTGCATAGCTTCCCAAGGGGAGTACTTCAAAGGTGACCACAGTGATATTTAGCAATGAGGTATGTAGAACTTCTTCTAGAATGAGTTCACAAACTTAGTTGTCCAACCTTGTATGTATATGTAGGAATACATATGTCTCTGTGTGTGTATTCACACGTGTTTCTTTGATCTGTTCACCAATAAGGGCTTAAAACCAATGGTTTTTTAGTAACAATGAGCTCTTCTCAGCTTTTGTTTTCCACATACAATTTTCCTTTTAAAGGAACCAGGGCTCCATGGAAAAATGGCTGGGGCAGGGAAAAGTACAAGATAAGCTTGGGATACCTTGAAGTGCCAAAAAACAAGGAAGAACTCAAAAAGTCACAAGGACATAGAAGCGAGCTTGAAGAGGTTCCCACAGACCAAATCTAGCAAAAGTTCAGTATCAAAATAAATGACAGTAATACATTGTAACTTACTGAATAAAGTAGAAATCCATGAGTCCATACCCGATATAAATGAATAAAGAAATGAACACATGGAGAAGGGACTGCTGTAACTTACAGCAGAATATCAATCAAAGCATAAGCAATGGTGGTCTAACCAGTTGGCAACCAGAATAGTAATAATTGATTCAGGCAAGAAGTGTTAATGGACTCAAACTGAGTGACAATTTGATGAGAAGCAGGAAATTTACAGAGTCTCAAAGAATCCCTCACAAAGCTCTTTTTACTTACTTTACAATAAGAAAACCTGATAGATACTATCCTAACCAAGTGATCAAAGTTAACATCACCAGGAATGGGACGATTTGACATTGTGTACCTCCTGGCACAATACAGTGAGAATACATAATTTCTGTGGTATTTCTGATAGAAATATGTATCCTGAATCTAATCATGAGGAAACATTAAACCCAAACTGTAGGACGTTCTACAAATTACTTGGCCTATAGTCTTCAAAAGTGTCGAGGTCATGAAAGAAAACTGAAAAACCGTTCCAGATTGAAGAGAAGAGAGAGAACAACTAAATGCACTGTATAACCCTGGACTGGGACACTGGAGCAGAGAGAAACATTAGGACAATCAGTGAATTTGAGTGTGGTCTGTGGACTAGGTGTCCTATGTCAGTGTAAATCTGCTGACTTCTGACTTTGATGGTCATACTCTGGTTACGTAGGAGTATTCTTGTTTTAAGGAAATATCACTCAAGTACTTAGGGGTAATGGTCATCATGTCTGCAACTTACTTGCAAATGGTTCAAAAATTATAATGGATGGCACTATATTGAATCTATAAATAAATGTAAGGTAAATAAACGTCTTTATAATATTGAGGCTTTCAATCCTTGTATATCATGGAGCACTCCATTTATTTAAGATTTCCTTAAATACCTCTTGGTATAAAACTTTCTCCATGAAGATAATGTATATATTTTGTTAGATTTATTCTTAACTATTACAAATTTTTTATGCTATTGAAATTTTTCTAAAAACTTTAATTTTCTGTTAGTTGCTGATATAAAGGAGTACAACTGAGTTCTGCATATTGTGAATGTAGCAACTTTGCTAAACTGTAGATGTTACTGAATTGCCTACATATATAATCCTATCAACACATCAAAACCATTTCCTGCCTCTGGGAAAGACAAATCCAGAGAATTACATTGTAACTTGTTATAAAAATATATAACGGCTGCCATTTTAAAGAGATTTTTATAGCTGTACAAATACTGTAAATAACACAATGATAGTTGAGGTGGTGAAGCCATAGTACCATCTTTACATTGTCACCCAAGGAAGTGAAGTATGATGATTCTATTTGCTTGAGATTTCTAGGCAATAATTCCCTCATAAGGATCATATCTTCATCTCTGTATCAAAAGAAATCCACTGCCTAAGATGCAAAGTAATTTTGAATACTCGTAAATTCTAATTAAGTTCTCAGCATGTAAAACAAGCCTATACAGGGAAGTTACGATCAACCCTTCACAAATGACTTCTTGGAAATTTGAACACTATGCTTTCCACAAAGCTTTCTGGTCTGCAGCTCTGAAAGGACTCCCCACTATTGCCCTTTCCCTTGGCTTACATTCTTTCCTTGTGTCATAAAATAACTTCCTGATGGATTGTTACCACATTACTGGGTATTAGAGCAGTGCACACGATGGGTACTCTACAAATAGCATCATCTTCTCAGGAGATATCTGTTTAATGACCCATCTATAAGCTGGCAGCTTAAGCTGGACAAGACGCCAGAGAGCCCTAAAGGCAGAAAGAACCCCTAAGTGAAACTCTTACTTGTGAGGTTTAACAGGAAGGGGAAACAGGACTGTTGATTATGTAATACATTCGTTCACTGGGTTGTCTCAATACAGTAAAGGAAAACTGAAGGTGTTTAACAGTACATTTTCTAAGCTGCAGTAAGGGATGATGAGAAAGTTTTGGAGATGGATAGTGGTCATGGTTACAAAACAATGTGAATGTACCTAATGCCACTGAACTGTATACTTAAAAATGGTTAAAATGGCAAAAATTATGTTATGCATATATTTTTTAAAGGTGCATTTTTTATTGTTAAACAAGCACCCGATATGACTCTGATATTATTTAGTAACCAGTCATTAAGAGTAGTAACCATCAGAAGCTGACGGCCCTGTGTGTGAAGACTTGATCCTGACTATTACATCATGGAACCTGGAGCAAATCATTTAACTAAGCCTCAGTGTCCTTATCTATAACACAGGAACAATAAAATACTTACCTATTATAGGCTGCTGTGAACTTCAAATAATTTATGTAGGAACTTGGCAGAGCTCATGGCACATAGAGAAGGCTCAATAAACGTTGGCTCTTAATTTCTTTTTAGCTTTTCATAGCAATACAATTTTTATATCTTGTACAATGAGGACTAAAATCAAGGCTCCAGGACAAAAGTGTTATTCATTTTCTCCCTCATCCTTAATGTCATACAGAACTATGTAACTTCCATGCATTCCATGTTGCAGTAGTCAAGGGATGTATGACCACTCAGCCAATGGATAATAAATCTTAAAGCCTCATGCCCGAAGAGGCAATGATTTCAGAGAAGTCAAAAGAACCTGAAATAATTTAATAGGTTAATATATATACATATACTGTATATATATATGTGTGTGTGTGTGTATGTATTTCTTTTATCAAGTATAACATGATCATACAAAAGCATTTATTACAAACAGAATTCACACATACAAAAGGAGGCTATTTTATTCTTTTGTCCCTTTTATATCCTGTTTTAGGCAAAATGAAGAAACCCAGAAAACAAAAGAACTGCACTAGTTCTAAAAACTGGGAATTTTATAAATGAAATATATCCAATCATCTACACCTCCTCTCAAATTCCAAAACGATGAGGCTTACTGAACTATATAGTTAGAATCAACTTAAATAAATCTTTGCACGATTCAGATGAAACATACATTGTCAATGGTTAAAAGTCCAGGTAGAAAAAGTACATAAAATTACGCATAAGTAAAAACATTTCATACAAAAGAAATGGTTTTTTCAAAAAAACCCCAGATAATATCAAGAGGAAATGCACTGAATTTTAAAACATTTTTTTTGGACCATTATATAAAATACCAAAAGGTTCAGCACTGTTGAACAACAAAAGTTTATGTAGAACAAAGCCAAGAGGTGAAAAACTATTAAATGTATTAAAACCATCTAAAGCCAAGTAAGATAAAACTGAACTATATAATTTAGAAACAGGTTTAAGTGCATTTTCTTTGTACAATTCAACTGATTATCACATGTAAAATCTGGCAATTAAAATGCAATTAAATACAGATTTGCAAGCCTTTTGGTCATCATGTAAATATTAATAAATTGCCAATTGGAAAAAAAAACCTTACATACATAATCAGAAAAGCACAACAGTCAAAGATGCACTATAAAATTGTGTGAAAAAAACAATCATACTAAACAAAGATCTTTTAGGCACTTGCATTCAGAAACATTCCTTTTATAAATAAGCATAGTTTCAGTTCAAAAAAATAAAGCTGATTTTTCCCAATTGCACCTATTAGTTGAGAACTATATATTAGGGATGCATTTAAATGGACCATTTTATGAGGCAAATCAACTAAACTTTAAAAAATATGAGTCCACCTACTTATTCACAAGTTCAGAAATACAGGTAATTCCAGTGAGGCACAGATGTGGCCCTATCAAAACATTCTACCATTGGATAACATTCTACAGGATAACACAATACAATGACAAAAAGCAAAATCCACAATTTGGCAATCCTATACAAAAGGGGCCCTGTCAAAAATTCTTTCACAAAACAAACACAATATACCACAAAACAATTAAAAAAGAAAAGCTGAATTTTGAAAACCTTATACAAACTGTGGGATTTCATCTTCAAGGTCTTCAAATTGCTGCATTCGTTTAAGCCTGGGTCTCTGACACGTTGGATGCACATCAGGCAAGTCCTGCTCCTCAGAGTTCTCTTTAGGCTTACTAACTGGCTGCACGGGACATGCCAGTGCGTTTTCGGAGTCCGGAATTGATTTTAGCGCATGCCCCTGAGGAGTGTGAGCTGTGCCAGGAGGCACTCCTAGGGGGGATGCTGTAGGTTTCTCCTCAGCTACTCTCGCACTACCCGCGGGAGCACGTGGTTTATAAAACGTTGTCCAGTGCTGGGGCTGCAGTGTTCTGGGTGCTCTGACAGGAGCAGGAGGGCACGAGTCAGAGGACCGTCTCTCTGACACCTGTCTTGCTGACATGCCTGGTTCTGTGTATGGCTTACTGGGCTGGGTGGCACTGAGTGGATGGTCCCCACCAATCCTGAGGCTGGTTATCACTCCTTCCTCCTGGAGTGCACTGGGCACAATCGCTGTAGTCTTTGCGGAGAGGTCATTTTGTTCACACAGTTTCTCCCGAATTTTCTGTAGAGTTTGCTGGTCAAAGTTGTCAAATTTGCAACAAATAGTAGGGGTGTCTTTTCTATAAACTCCTTCAAAGGTAGGACTCTTGTAAAACTTGTCTGAATTTACACTCCCCATATTTCTGCCATTTCTCTCATAAGGAGGGCTTGCAAGAAGCAGTCTATCTACAGGCAAACTGGCAGGTCTAATCTTGGTCCTTGGGGTATACCTCTCAACAATGCTGTTTGTTTCCCTATTGAATTTCAGAGGAAGTGGCTTGGAGGTTTTACAAACATCTTCCATCTTTTGTGATGCTGATTCAAGCTCGTGGTCTACAAGCAAATGCACTTTGTTGTCTGAAAAAGGAGAAGATTTATTTAAAAATCAAACTTCATGGCACCTGGTTAACAAGAGAGTCTGAATAAATTACAGATCAACATGCTCTCAAAACAACAAAGGTCTTACATATTTTTTCCAAGTTAGTCTCAGTTATCTATGCAGATGAGTTTAAAGGCAGACTTTGTATAAAAATGTTAGAATTCTCTATTTACTTACACCAATATAATAAACAAAATCCACTACAAGTTAGAAAACAACACACTTGCTGAGATAAGTGTATTTTTATGTCTTTTTATGTGCCATGCATGAACAGGTATTTGCTGGGTCAAAGGACTGTCACGATTTCAATATGCAGACATTGGTAAATTAACCTCAGAAAAGTTACATCAATTTACACACCAACCAAATGTAGGTGTGCCCTTGAATCCCAAGGCTTTTGCCAACTCAATTTGCTTTTTAGTTACACTCAAGCCACAGTGAGAGCATATCACGTGAAATGCCTTATGCGTATTCATATCTGATCAACTAATAAATGGACTATAACATTCATCCTGTCCAACTGAATTGTTTTACCTTAAGGGAAAAATGCCATTCACCCCATTTACTGTTTACTTCTAGACTGACTTTCTTCTCTTTCCTATTGAGCTCCCATGGTCCGTGTTTCCTCAGACTACAACGCGGAGCTCCTTTAAACCCTGTGCCTCTTTGCTATGTCCCTCCTAAAAAAAATTCTCTTTTCTGGAAAGTTCCAGCCCTCTGCTCACACTCTTTTGGGCAGCAGTCTGCTGACAGGTGCCCATCAGAACCACTGCCAATGGTCATCTCATCTGACCTTCCTCCTTTCCTTATCTGAGACTGACCTCCCTTCCCTGGGATACCAAAACTGCACTCTCTTGTTTTGTTTTCCCAGGTCCGAACCCACATTTGCAGACCCCTCTAAGGGGTCTGACTCGCTGTGGTCATGCTGTAGGTACCCACCAAAATACATTCTTAAATTCTGAGGGAAAAACGTATAGCCTAATGGATAGAGTGCAGACTCTGAAGCCCAGTGGCTGGGTTTAACTCAGCTCTACCACTTCTGCACTGGGCAAGGCAATCTCACTACCCTTCACTGTCTTCATCTGTCAAAAGAAAATCATAATTGTATCTATGTTGATGTGTGGCCTAAATGATCTAATCATGAAAAGTGCTTAGAATTCTCTGGTATTTAATAAGCACTCAAAAATGACATTTATTATTATAACTATTCTAACTGGGAGCCCTAGATCATGGGAGAGTGAAATAAGCACAAACATAGGTTCAAATATTGACTGAAAGATTTATTAGGGGCATGACCTTTGGCATGATTTCACTTCTCTCAGATCATTAGGCTATGGATTCAATGGGCCTAGTGCCACTGACTTTATAGCACAGAACTATTATGAAGATCAAATCAAATAAATGGAATCAAACAATAAGCATAGTGCTTAGCAAAGAGCAGGTGGGTACTTAATGAATATTAGCTCCCTTACTTTTTAGACCCAATCAGGCTATCATCACTGCTGTCTGATTATACATCAAATTTAACATAGATGGCTGAATTTTTAAAAACTGGAATTTAGCTCTAGTAACTTATAGAATTATAGTAATAAATGGAAAACTTTCTACCAGTTTGATAGCTACCAATCACTGCAACTAAAATTATTACCCAGTGAATAAAATGACTGCAGTCAAGGAAATAAAAAGACATACACATATGTGTACTTAATGTGTTAAAGGCAAGTGATAGGCAAAAGCATTTGAAGAAAATTTTAGGAATTTTAGGAGTCTAATTTTTTTTTGTAATTTTAGGAATCTAGTTGGCTCTTTATGAGCAGTTAGATCAATACAATGATCTATAGTAATAGAGATGCTAATGAACTAACATACTATTCAACACATTTCTGCCACGACTTTAATTCATGGCAAAAATGAAAACAAAAAAATTTTCAGAAAGAGCACAAACAACACCTATGAACTTCAAGATGTCTTTTTATAAAAAGACTATTATAGACAATGACATTCATTTAAACGCGAGGTACACTAAAAGGCAACTTTCTTAATGGCTAACAAACATCCATTTACTAAAGAAGCTTCTTTCTCTGATCACTCAACTCCACTCACCTCTGCTCTTAAGCATGGTTTATTGACATATAGTTTTAAGTCAGAAAACATGTATTTTATCTGGCCACTCACCAATGAGACATGCATCATATTTTTCTAATGCATTCTGCTTTCGTTCTGATTCCTCAAATGATGTAGCTGGTTCAATAATTTTGCTTTCACTATCTGCCATCTGGATATCCTGTTGATGGAAGAGAATTTTTAAACTTGAACAAGCAAACACACCTTAAAATACACAATTCAAAGATTTTTTTTAAAACTTAATATAAACATTATCAAGTTCCAACAAAATTGCATGAAGGTCAAAACTCACTTCCTTTGAAGAGAAAAATAGTGACTTCATGTAGCGTTCTGGTTCTCTTTCTTCTGGTGATAACGGAGGCTTCAGAAGACAGCTTTGATCAATCTGAGGTGCAACACCACCTGTACTACACCCAACTACATCTTGTGGCTGTAGGGACCCATCAAAGATTTTCTGTGAGTAAGTAATCAGGAACTCTACCAACCGTGCTTGATTGGAGTATTCAGCAAGAGAGGAGATGGTGATAGGAGCAGTTGTGGGCCTTGGCCTAATAAGACTTGGTCCAAATATCACCCCCAAGTTTTTGGAGTTCATCTTGTTTTCTTCTGCATGATCTACGACCCTGCAGAGTAGAATACATAAAGCTGGATGATATTTGCCTGTTAGGTTGCCCTGATGGTAGTTTACTATGGGTTGGGAAGGGTGGAGGGAAAATGGGCGGCAGAAGTCTAAGAAAAGGATATATTTATTTGACTAAAAATTGACACACACCAAGTTGGGTTTCAACAGTATGAGGATAAAAATTAAGTAAGTAGAAGGAACTGAGGCAGGATAGGTAGCCTAGGAAATTGACAACCCCTCCAGGGTACAACATGAGGTGCCTCACTGGTTACACAAGTAACAAGTGACTGTATCTAGTTACTTGCAGCTGGAGAAAAACAAGAACCAGTTTCATGCAGCTAGGCTAATTCCTATAACCAGGCCGTGACCTTTATTTAGCTAATTATAATGTCATTATAATCTCATTTGCATTGCAGTTACTATGACTCCCATCAAGCATCTGACGCCATGATAGTTCCGGAGGAAAAATAAGGAAGAAAAAGCCAGACATGAGGATCCTGCCGGAGAAGGATATGAATGAACCAGTCCATGGAACATCACCAATTTCTGCCCCGGGAGGGATAAAAAACCCTGATCCTGACTTCCTTGGGGTGCCTGCACTTTCCTCTCAAGTGTGTACTTTTGTTTTCAATAAATCGCTTTAGCTTTTCTGCATCTGTCTACTCTTGAATTCTTTATTGCGCAGAAACTAGAACCCGGTCGCCACTGCTCCAGGTTGAGCCCTCTCTGGACATCCCCGTGAGCCTCTGGTGACAGAACTACTAGAGTTTTACCAGCAGAAATAAAAAATACCCCTAAAAGCTGCAGGTCCCGGTGCTGGAAACTTCAACATCATTGTCAAATTCTGACTGCTCACAGCTATTCTTCAAGCCTACCTGATTCTCCCTCCTAAACATCTCTCTGTTCTGTTGCCACTCCCTCTGCTATGTATGGCCTTACTTCAAATTCTCATCATCTTTTATTTCTATGACTATTCCAGGAGATCTGAAGGCAGTAAAGGCCTCCCTCCCCTCCAAACCATTCTCCATATTGCTGCCAGAAAGATGTAACAGGCAAATCTGGTCATGTTAAATTCTTGGTTCAAAATTCTTTAGTGGGTACAGAAGGAAGATAGTCAAGTTACCTGCCAGGTATGTAAGGCTTTGTTTACCAGGCCTCTACCTAGCTCACTCCTGCTACTGCTTGTTATATCTTAGTCTAACCAAATTGCTTATACTTCCGCAATGCAAAATTATCTCTTGTATCTCTGTATCTGTTACCCTCTGCCTGGAATGCTCCTCTGCACATTCTCTGCAGCCAAACCACTATTGAGCTCTTCAAGTCTGGCTCCGGGCTATGCTCCTGATTCATGACCCTCCCTCCCCCATCTTCTACTGCTTGCAGTGCATAGCCCCCTTAGAATAAGAATGATGCTGCACTGCCCTGGTCTGCAAGTCTGCCCCTGAAGCTGCCAAGCACAACAGATGACAGAAAACTTTTCATTGTTTCCCCAGCCAGAGTCTGGCACATAGGAAGCATCTGAGGCAAAGATGCTAGCTGCACAGCCGTACATTCAACGTCTCCCTTTCCCTAGCACATACCGGGGGTGCAAAAAAATGGATACACATGACTTGTATTCATCTTTTGTTATTGGTATATATTGAGTATTACAATTTTAATACAGTTTTTTTCTTTCTTAAAATGTGTATGCATTTTTTGGGCATCCTCTGTATTAGAAATGAATGTTCATTTTTAAAAACATTAACACAATAATGTGAATGTACTTAATACTACTGAGCTGTACGCTTAAAAATGATTAAGATGGTAAATTTATGTTATGTGTGTTTTACAATTAAAAGAAAACAACAACAGGATAAAACTGATCAGTTATCCATACACTAATGGATACTCATCTTATACAAAGTTCTTACCGCTTAAGATGTACTATGAGGTAATGAAGACTGTTAAAATTTGATGCTGGTAATTGTCTTAGAAGGTCCTTGCTTTTTAGAAGAATTCGGTTTATTTCTATACAGGTCGGCCATTTTTTGTCCTCGTGGCTATCCTTTTTTGTCTCTTGTTCTTCATTTACACGTTGAATCTCTTTTGCAAGGTCTATAAATTCCTTGTACAATCGGAATAAAATAAATGGTTCTGGAAGCTAAAGAAATAAAATTACATTAGAAGTATCACTCTGTCCTTTTGTTCCCGTTAATATCTGCTGAATAGTACTGAATGGTTTAATATGTCCCTTTACATTAACAAGATTTAAGGTCAACCCACATTTAGAAATGTACATATGTCTGCTACAGACATGATCTATATATAAAGTCGATCTGATATAATCACCATAAATCATATTTATATTAAAAATTAGTTAACTGATAATCAGTAAAACTCTAAATCTTAGATTCATGACTGCCCCCAAGTTAGCATGAACCTCAACTATTTTATTGAAACAAATCCGGGATGATACAAATTAAGTCAAATTAATTAGAAAAAGCTTATACTCTGAATTTTATTGGTATGGGGAAACAGAGAACAAAATGCTTTCGGGTCTTTGTGTTTTAATTAAATCAGACTGAAGATTAGCATAAGACGATATTGCTTACAAGAAAGAAACTGTCAATATTTTATTTATCAAAATTTTAAATATAACTTGAGTTGGCATAAGTAGTTCAACAGAAAAAGTTCCTCAAACTATCAGAGATGGTATGTCTATTGGCATAACTTATTTCAATATTTCCACTGCTTAGCAATGGAAAATACAGCATATCTCTGGTGTCCTATACTATCTGTGGTGACGTAGACACCTGTTGATCCAGTTTCCCTTGCTGGTCCTAGAGAGGCGACGCTTTGAGATCAATTTCTACCTCCACCACTCCGAGGTCTGAAGAAGGTAACTTAACCTCTTGGAGCTTCAGATTTCCCACATGGTATGTGAGTAAAATGAAGGCTACTCTCTAATACTGTAGAATTAAGCATGGCTTTTCACACTAAAGTCTTGGTCCCATAGTATTCCTGAGACAGACCCCATTCATTTCCTTTCCCTGAATGGCTAGAAGAGATAAAGGATGATTCACTGTGAGATTTACAGTCATTCAAAGGTATGTTTTCTCCACTTCTCAGCTGAGAATACTATAAAATGTGATTAAAGAGATCTCAATGGTTTCCTGGGCTAACATGGTAGGTCCAACATTTGTACCTAATTTTTTTCCTCTGCAATCCTACTGAAATACAGCTCAGCCCATAGGACCAAGACAATAGGAATGGAGACAAAAGCAACATTTCACAAGTGGAAGAGCAGATGACCAAGTGCTGACTTAGCAGTCCTGAGAAAGCTGCAATTCCAAACTGAGATACAACAGTTTACAAGATCAGGAAACTCAGTGACTGTCAGCACGAGGGCCACTAATCATGAGAGAGGGTAGGCTGCCCAAGAAGCATCAGATCTCTAGATCTTTGTTGTCTCCACTCCGTGCTCCTGAGCAATCTGTTCCCCAGACGTCTGGGGGGTTCTTCTCTGGGCAATGTTAAACTATCGGTTCCCTGGTAGGCAAATCCAAGGCAAACAAAAAGGTGGGACACCAATCATTGGGTTTTCAGAAAAGGCATGAACGCATTTTTGCAATGAAAAAATTGAAAAAAAAGTCATTACTTTTTCTGACAACCCAATAAAAACAGGAATTTAGTGAAAGCAGAGATCCTAGAGCCTTCTTTCCCTACTTGGCTCCCAGAGTTCTGGTAACACACATCTAGTTAGCGAAAGGCCCTTCTGTAGGGTATCGACCAGTCCTAGAGATGCAGCTATCACGTGTTTCCTAAACAGCCCACCTAGATCACACTGAAGTTCAAAATCTTGAAAGCCTTTATATATTCATTCAAGAGCTTCCAAAGACATTTTAATTCCCAACTCTTTCATTTTAAGCAGAAAACCATGGAAGACAAATCAAAATAGGTAGGAAAACAACAACTTGAAGCTCTAGAACTTCAAGGAAATGAACAAAACAAAAGTTCCAAGAACTAAAGGACAAGTAACCAGAATGATAGAGATCACAGAGTGCCTGAAATAGTGGGTGAAACTACACCCACATCAAAGCAATCATTGTTAAATTTTAGGGTAATGAGGAGAAAAAGAAGATTCTACAAGCTTTCAAGAGAAAATTAATAGACCACATACAGAGAATCAAGAATGAGAAGGATCTCAGGCTTCAAAGAGAACAACAGAAAAAAATGCCTGCAAAATTCTGAAGAAAAATATTTTCCAACCTAGAATACTGTAATGTTCTACACCATTCAAACTCTTCCATTCCCATTCAAGAAAGTAGAATAAAGACAGATAAATAAGGTTTCAAATACGTACTCTTATTCCACATTGCTCAAGAGACAGGCTTGACTAAAACAGGAGAATAAACCAATACAGGAAGACAAGACACAGAAGGCAGGTGTTCCCTTACAACAGAGGAGAGGGTGGAGAAGAGAGATCCCAGTATGACAACTATTCACCATGTTAAAAAAGGCCCAGATGGAGATGAGAACTCTGGAGATTGACACGTTGAGGACCATAGTCACTATGCTCTCTGTAACTATCTCTTCATTTTTACCCAGGACAGAAGGCAGCGGGGCTTGGCCCACATCATTTTTATACTTGGCTCCTCATGACAGTGTGCTGACTGTTCCTGAAACTCCTTCATAATTGCTGCCTGAAGCCACGAAGGCCACTTATCTCACCCCACAGAAGTGTTTTCTTTGGACCTAATCCTGAAAACTACAGGTACAACAGTGAGCATAGAAAGAAAATGCAGAAAATCCCAACCATATTCCTGCTCAACTTCCAGAGCCCAGCTTATAGGACGGACAGCCCTGCCTGATGCCTCAAATATGTTGAACTTCCAGGATGAGTTCATGACCTTGACCACTGACCTCCCACAACAGCTATTTTAAAATATCAATGAAGGCAAAGTTAGACTATGACCCAGACACTGTTCTACTTACCGAATCTTTCATATAACAGTCTGAAGAACAGCCTTTCTTTACATAGCTAGATTTATGCTCCCTACTCAGTTTTCTAACACTTAATGATACATGGTTTAGGAATACACAATAGGTATTAAAACTATTAAGAAAAAAGAGGGAGTTATTAACATGGTTAGGAAAGACCACTGGGTTATAGGCTACGACTGGGCTATAGGCTACAGTTATAGGCTACAACTGGGGAGGAATACATAGGGCCCTTCTAAAAGGTATAATAATGTTCAATTTCCTTAAACTAGGTGATGGGAAGTGAGTGTTTTTAATAGTATCTGTTTGTAAACTGTACATATATTTTATACACATTTTGATCTATATAATAAGTAGAAAGATATTAATATGGTCTTTGTTAATGAAAAGATCTGTATAGCAAATGTTATCAGCAAAATGCAAATCATATTTTTGCTCTTTTCTATTTACTGGTAGGTTTCAAGGGCAAAAACTTTACCTGTCGAAGGTATAATTTTAAGACGTCACAGATGTCATGTGAGCTAAATTCTGAAATGTCTACCAAGTGCATTCCATTTTCCAAAGCTTGACAAAGTTTTTCAGTTTTTATTTTGTTTCCACATACACGATAAATTCCCTTGAGAAAAAAAGAAGAAAAATTTTGAAAAACTCTGCTTTAGTACAAGTGGCTAAATGTGGACATCTAGATATATTTGATGTGTCTACTTTAATTTTTATTAATATTTACAAAAAAACTTAGGCCAAATAAGGTAATATTTTCCAAATAATTCTGAATAAAATCAGTTACTTATTAAAAATTGAGATCATTGTTTTCCTTTAAAGTCTCCTTATCATTAGAACAAATCACACAGGCATTTATATTTAAAAATTTTAATTTCAAGAGTTACAATATACCTGTAGACACAAGGCTCTATTTTCAATCTCTGAGGCACATATTTTGAGTATAAAAGGGATGCCATCTGGTTCCTTTTTTGCAACTTGTGCAAATTCTGCTCCAAATAAGTGTATTTTCCCCAGAAGTTTTTGATGACCACAAATGATGACTAAATTTTCCAAACACTTTCGGTGACAAACAAGGAGACACTGCAAGAAAGCGAAAGTTTAAAACTGGTTAACTTACCTTAAAAACTATTTACAACTGGACAAACTACAGGTAGAGTGGTAACACAACAAAAATCAGTTTAAAAGGCATTACTTGTGGTGTTTGAAATAGCAAAATGAAATATAAAATTATAGAAGGTACACTGTGGTTCCTTATATAATTTATTAAATTTATATTTGCAAAAGATCCTACTCAGTAAAATTAGTAACAAAAAAACGATACAACAGAAAGCATAAAGGGGCTAAGTAATGCTAGAAAGAGCTTACCTCTTCACATTCAACACCTGGGAAGACTACAATGCTTTCACAATCCCTGCATTTCGTGGGGGATCTCAATTTGCGAAACTTGTGGGTGAGAGCTGCCTTTGACATCAATGTTTTCTTACATGTTCCAAGGGAATTGGGTCCTTGCAACAGAAATAGATTATTATATAAGAATTATAAGGCGGCAAAAATTATACTATAGAATAGTGTATTTTGAAAAATCTTTATGCTTCGCCATCATTCACATATTACAAAAAGCTATTATTTTGAGTCTGTAACATCAAAATAAGCATCTTATTTAAAAATCTCTTACAAGGCACATATTTATTAAACATTTTAGCAATGAGTAAAAATCACCACCAAACCAACAAGACACTTACTTCTAAAACAGCACAGCATAATGTTTTCAGAATTAGAAATTTTATACTGTTATTAATATG